ATCCCCCACAGTTTAGCCCGTCTCTATTTTTCCATCAGTCTCGAAGCGCTGATGAGAACGTCGAAAGACTCGTCTATAAATGTGTCCGCTTGTAAAATAAACACACCAACTGGATCAGGAGTTTATTTTATTTTACTGGATGTGTGTAAGTGTGTTTGTGTATGCGTGTGAGTCTGACTGAAATTTCCATGCACTTTCTCCTTCTGTCTCATAAATCTTTTACAAAACACAGCATTGTGTTTGAAAGCCACCATGAGTAAAGCCAGGAACTAACACGAATGCAGCCACGTGTACACTCTAAACCAGATTAAATCTGACTGTAACACGGCTTTTTTGTGGAGATTTTGGAATTTTATTTTGTATTTTGTGCCCTCCTCGTGAAACAAACAAACAAAAACAAACACGTAGGCATCAAGAGAGCATGACGAGGTATTCGAATGGCTGAATGAACTCATATTTGCAGGGCTTGTTGTCACGTGCAGCGCTTCTGCTGTAGAGTTTTGTGTTGACAACAAAAAGGAAAAGCTTTTGCATCAGTCCGGGAAGGAGATGCAGAAAGTGCCCCTGCGTTTTAAGACTACACTGTTCAACAAAAGCAATAATTTCATGTTATTTGGAGCTCCCTTGCCTCTGTGGTACAGGGGTACTGTGTAGATCTAAAGTCGGCTCCTGTTCCAGACGATCAATTTGGGGCTGACACACACATCTCTCCTTGTACGCTCATACACCTTGTTTACAGCTCAGGCAGCTCTGAATTCCTCAGTGTTGGAAGTATAAGTGGAAACACACGGATGCATAAACTGTAGAGTCATCTCTACGCAGGTGTGAAGTTCATTGCAAAAGCACCGCATTATATTTCAAATGACTCGTGTTTATGCATCACTACCTTACCATCTGATGTTAGGAAGCACCGCTTTCAACACATTTTTTGGATGTTTAATCCCTTGACATCCAAATTTATCCCTATTTCCCTTTGAAGGTGCTCCAATTAAAATTTGATAGGAACAATAGATGAAAAGTCTTTGTGTACTTGAATCTGCAGTCCCCCCGAGCGCCGTGGAGTTTTTAGCATCTTTCAGCTCACTGTTTTGGTTTACTCTGTCATTCCCAAACCTCTGATCAGTGTCATTTTCAGAAGCGGTGGTAGACGGCTGTTGTTTCTGTAAATGATAAAAATACCTAAAATGATATAAATACGGCCCCCGAGGCGAAAGACACATAAAAGCCATCTGACCCATTCATCTAACCACCTCGCCAAGTGATTACTTAGTAACCGTGATTTGGCATTACTGTATATCGCCGCTTTCATTGCCAGCAGAGTGCTTCCATTCTAGATTTAGGGGCTTTCACCCGCTCTTCCCTCTTCTTCTCCAACTCTTCTGATGAGGTCGCAGGTAACGTGTCCTTCTGATGACTCCTCGGTGTGGGTTCTGTTTGTTTGGTACAGTGAGCCAGCCAAACGTTCATCTCCTTTGGAGGCATGCTTTGTTTTGTCTTCCTGCCCAGCATACATCCAGTTTTCTCTGAAAGTTTTCTCAGGCTTCCAGATCTCGTTTTTGACTTCACAGTTCCCTTTAACCGACATTTCTCAGTGACATTTCAAATGACACTTTGATATCTTTTTATAGCGCGTCCCTTCTTTGTAGACATCAGTTAGATTCATTTTTAGATCCTCCGTCAGAGGAACCGGAGGATGTTGAGTGTTAAATAAGGTTAGAGGAGTTTATCTCAGAGTCTGGGACTGTAATCAGAGGACAGTTCCTAATGACAGGTACATTACACTCCAGTAGCTAATTCATTAAGGCATAACAAGCTCCTAAAGCCAAAACTTCACAGGCCGCAGTCGTTGCTCATGCCCACAGACTTAACATTAAAGATAGACATCACTATGATGTCAACCATTAATGGAAAACAACTTTGAAACATTGGGCTTTGCATTTATGTGCGACAGTGAAAATGGGGCATTATCAGCTAAAGCTAGAGCTTCCATAATTCATTGTGTTATTAAACACAATGCTTTTTTTTTTGGCTTAAACCAAAGAAATTAAAAATGAAACAGCTGAGTCCTTCGAACTTCTTCTTCTTGTCCTCCTTCTTCTTCTGGGAGGGGGGGGGCAGCCTCCTGATTTCACATTCGGTGACCGATTGCGCTTGCAGTGACCAACAACAACACAATTGTGGTCTGACTGCAACCACTCTGAAACAGACTGACAAACGAAACTGCGTTAATATATTTGAACCGCTTATCACAGCTCAGATTCTTTTATTTTATCTGTATAGTTTTCTTTTTTAAATCTTTTATATGACTGTTGTATTTCTCATACGCCCTTTTTATAATTGCTGTTTAAATTGTTTTTAATTATCACTCATTTTTCTATTTTATATGTGAATTGTTTTCTTTTTGGCATCTATTGTGGACAGCAAAGAAAAAGTTTGACTGCACAGAGAAACGTGATTAATTACTGCGCATATGACAATAAACTTTGAAACTTTGAAACTAAAAATACTTTGAGGTTTAATTTATAAACGCAGACAGATTTTCAGCAGGTTGCAATCAATCTGAATCAGATGAGCGCAACTCATCTGTCATACGTCTCGTTGCAGGGGGCTCGACTCCGCTGGTTGCCAACTGGTTTTATTCTGTTTATATTCTTATGAAAGTAAACCTGCTGAGCTTCTGTGGCATTTGTTACATTTTTCTGCCCTGCAGCAACTACGTCACAATTTGCAGAGTTTCTGAATTTCTGCTTCACATCTATGAGGTTCTGGTTGGACTTTGAATGTAATCAGGTTTATGCCATTTCTGATTTTTACCAACTGATCACAATTAATCATCACAAACAGATTGCATGTAATTGCCAACATGACCTCATTTGTCGCAGACTGATGGCAGACTGATTCTGTCTTATTTATTGCTGTCTTGATGCACTAAAGTCACTTTGAAGATGGCGGCTGACTGTTAGTGGTTGCAGACTTGGTCTTCATCTGTGAAGCAACCATTCTAGAGGCAGCAAGATTTCAACAGTTTTGGTTATGCTGTAGCCTCCAGTCACTGTTTTACCCAGTTTGAGTGTAGCACACTGGGCACCTGTCACTCCTGCCAACCCCTTACTTATGCTTAACCTCGAGCCTTTTATTATTTCCCCCTTAATAATAAAAACCTTTATTTAGAAATGAAAAGTTGTTATCTTTGTCTAATATTTAATTTCATTTCATTTCCCGTACAGTAGTCTTGAAATTTAAAAGACAGACCAAGTAAATAAAACTGCAACTTGGACAAGATTTTAAAAATGTCTATTTCTGCTGTGAAATCTGGCAGTTTTACACTGTGGGGTGAGGAACTGTGGGTTTGACTTAGTTTGGAGACGGGCCCAAGTGTAACTCTCATGAACTGCAGTTCTTGGGACTTTGAGTTGGCTTCATTTTTCTTTTTCTTCTTTTGTGATTTTTCCTTTCCTTTCCTTTCCTTTCCTTTCCTTTCCTTTCCTTTCCTTTCCTTTCCTTTTCTTTTCTTAAAACTACCCCCAAACAAATAATGCAACATTTGAAAAAAAAAAATCATTTTCACATTTACTTGTGTTTGTTTGCTATCACATCAAACTTAGCCCAAGGCTAAAAACGGCTGTTGTTAAGTATTTATCAGTTACAGAGTCAGATATATTCTTCAGGAACGGGTGGAGCCCAAACCACAAATATTAAACTTGCATTCATTATGTGGTTGCTGGACTCTACATGAATGCTGATGCTGCTCCATGTCTGCTGGCTTTGCATGTTTACTTATTATTGCAATAATCTAATATTACAATACATTCATGGTGTGTTTACTGGCGTTTGCTATCCCCAAGATGCCAGAACAAAATTTGATTTACTTTAAGTAGTTTTAAGCAGGTAGCACAAACTCACAGGTGAAATATTTAAACTCAAAAATCAAAACAGTCGTTATTTCTGCACGGTCAAACTGAAACACGCTGTTTTACACAATCCCAAAAATGCATTGTCGTATCTCCACTTTAATAGGAATTTGAACAGGTCTGAGCAAACTTCAACGCTATCTAGTGGCGAACAGGTGAGCCAGCTTTATTATATGAAGGTAAAAATTAACTCATATTCTTTATTACTTGCTTAATGCTCTAATTTAAGGCCTCAATTCTACGCAGATAAATCTGAAATATGAAGTTTTTGTGTGCACGCCAGCTCCGTAAATCCCCTCAGTTCTCCAAATCTTATTATAAGAATAAATGAATGAAATCAAACAGAGTACATACAGAATTTTTTCGCAGTCATCGTGATTATCGTGATTAGTGGCTCGATTAAGATTCGAAAACCAACTCCTGCCTGTATTACACAAGGGAAGATGCATAATTCAAAACCATCTTGAGCACGGAGCAACAGACTGCAGACCTACAGTATGATGAATAACAAAGAGGAGTGAACTGCTCTTCTCACTTGATCACTGTCAGGAATCAGTGTAGGAGCTGGACCTGTGGTCAGACAGCCCCAATGGCCAAGAGCTGAAATCAGCAACAAACCGCCGACTGCTGCTGGGTTTGTGCTCACCCCGTTGCAGCAGTGAGATGTTGCCAGGTTGGGAGATGCGTCTGATGCAGCCGGTTAACAGTTAACATTGCTCAGCATTAAGGTCAAACCCTGCAAACGTTAATTAAACGGACAAGAGCCCCAGCTTGTCTATAATAGGTGGCCTGGGGGTTATACGCGTAAGCACACAAGTTCTTTCATTAAATGTGTGGAAACACGAGGTGACACGAGGGTGTTGGGGTGGGTGGGGGTTAACTGATGGTCAGACTGTCACTGTGAGCTCACGGGTAAATTTAATTCGCAGACCCCGGATCAACCTCGGAGGTTTATATAGGAATCGGATTATGGTCACATAAACTACATCCCTTCTCCTCTCTCCTCTTTTCACCCCCCACTCTCTCCTCAATCCCTCCCACCCACCCACACCACCACCCTGTCCCCACTCTTTGAATGGGGGGCGCTGGAACCGTCTGCCCGTCACTGCTTGCCTCTTTGTTTAGACCGATTCCGCTTCTCTCCCTCGGCGTTGCTGCTGGCGAGGAGGGGGGGACGGAGGGAGCACCTTGCTGTCTCTCTCTCGCTCTCTCTCTCGCGTTTTCTCTTTCTGTGTGAGTGCTCCTGCTCCGATCTGGCACAAATCGGCGTCTGACGGGATGACCGGCGCATAGGCTGCTGCTCAGTGAGGAGAGGATAATGTTGAAGGAGTGAAAAGTAAGATCCGGAGCGCTCGTGCAGACACTCGCCCTGGTCTCTGTTCTGCCTCTGCAAAGTGCTGTTTCACCCTTGTTCCGTCGTTCGCCGTCTCTGCACCCCTCGGGGAGCTTTGGAGAGCACCTGATCTGAGGCGCAAAGCTTTGCTTTCCCTAGGACTGCACCACTGAGGCGAACCTTGGTTCGGTAGACACGGTAAGAGAGAGAGAGAGAGAGAGAAGGCAAGAATACAATGTTTTTCGCTTGCATGCTTTATGAAATCAGTCATTTGGTCAGTGTGTCATGTCTCAAGTCGCCGGGTAGCCGGAGGCGGCTGAGACCGCTCTGCTGCTGGAAGATGCTTTGAAGTGTGCGTTTCTTGGCTTAAAAACGCACTTTTAGAGCAGCTAGAAGAAAAAAACCGAAAAAAAACATGGGTACATTTTTCTCACATTGCTCTAATTATATGCAAATGCAATACCAGAAAGTATTAAAGTATTTTTTTCTTGTGGACCAATCAATGCCTTCCTGTTCGATCACACCGTCAGCTTCTGAGAGGCGCTCAAATCGCACCCGTTTGGGATATCTTTAATTATTTACAGGTCAACGCTTTTAATATTGGTCTATATTTACAACCCATGTATGTTCATGCATAAATCATCAACTCAGCGAGTAACCTCGTTAGCGTGCCCATTACATGGTTTCATCTCAGGAGAGCTTGTCTTCATATCACGAGAACTGGTTTACACGGGCGCAAAAAACCTTCTTAAATCTTAATCTACAGATGTCAGAAAGAAAGGAAACCAGAAGGTGAAGACGCCTTCTGCCGGTGATGCAATTGTAGAAGCGCATCCGAGCTCTTGAACAGGTGTTTGTGAAATCTATTATGTAAATCAGAGGCTTTTGGTGAGCAAACAACATGTGCTGAGTGACTGCCAAAATCAGATCTCGTGGTCCATCTCCAGAGCTGTCACCTGCGCCTGACATCAAAGATCCTCCGTGGAATCTGAGTTACTAATGATCACAGGGTCTGCTTGTCAGTATGTTATCTTTACACTGAAGTACCCCGTGCCAACTTTGCTTTGCTTTGCTGAAAATATGTGAGAAGAAAAATGAAGCAACAAAAAAAAAAAGTGTCGGTAAAAAGATGGATTGCCTGGTGCCAAGTAGGTGAACAGATCTTAGAAGGTTTTATATTGATGAGTGCCCACTCTGTAAACAAACACTGGCATGTACAATTCACAGTGAAGGAGGAGAACAGTTTAAGTCACCTTGACGAATGAGCTGTATTGTCTGAGAATATGAGAGCCCCTGCAGCCCAATAAAGCCCATTCTGTTTCCATTCACCGCCTCAGCCTGGAGGAGTCCAAGTCTTTTCTTCTTTTGCCTTGTTAGTGCGCCCACCACCAGCTGTGTGTCAGTGCCATAAAGCAGGACGAGGTTAACTAGGCAACGACACGTTATAGAGGAGCTCAGGAAAATGTTTGCAAGAGGCTACAGAGAGGCAGAGAAGTGGTGCTTACAGGGCGAGAAGAGAAAAGTGAGGAATGAGGCAAAGAGGCTCAGCTGAAAGTTTACAGCATGCATTTTTCATCCTGTCCGGATCTGTGTGTGTGTGTGTGCTTGAGAGATGGTGTATGTGTGTGTGGGTCATCCATGAGCCCCGGCACGCATGCAGTAGTTGCGTGTATGTTTGCGTGTTGAAGTGTGTATGTAGATGAGTGCACTCATACGAGCAGAGGGATCAGAGAGCGGTGTTGTGAGGAAGAAAGGGGTCTGATTCTAAAATAGAGTACGAGCTCAGTTCAGCTGCCTCGCTGTCTATTTGCTGCACACTTTGCACTCATTCAGCCTCTGTATTGTTTATCGTGCATCTCTCTGTGAGCAGTCTGCAATTTAAGGAGCCACTTTGCATCAGTGGAAGATGGAAAAAAAGAGGCTCGTATGCAATGCTTTTAGAGATGCTAGAGTGTGATTAATCATTGCATAAAACTAGTTCCAGCTTTATGTGAGCATTTTTCTGCTTTTTTTGTCTTGTGTATGAACATGAGCTGAGTTTCTGTAGTTTGGCTGGAGAAAATAAACAATCTGCAGAAGCATTTCAATGTTTTTCTGCAGTTTCTGTGGAGACAAAAATGAATTATTGAAACAATCACTAAGTTATTTGTAGCTGAGTGACAAACGTCACTGTTTTTCCAGATGTTATAGAACTGCAGAGTCAATATCTTCAGGTTTCAGTGGGCAATCAATGAAACTGCTGTGTTTCTTTTTTTGTGTGTTATTTTCTGATGAAAATAATCATTAGTAAAAGCCACGCTGGTCTCAGCTCATGTGAATTTGTTTCAAGAGCCTTGCTGCTGGCATATTTGTCAGTGAAAGCCAAAGGTAATTCTCAGTCAAGGTTTGATTTTATTCTCTATGGTTAGAAAGTGCCAACTCTAATATGTCACTTAGGTGATTATGGGTTCTGTTCCCCACTAATACAGTGTTAATAGCTAACAGAATGGGACTATATAAATGCAAATGAGCACCAGCTTTGCGCTTATAGCGGCTTAGGTATGATCAAAATAAGCTTAACTTGGAGAGAGCCACGGGCTTGTTGCTGTATGATTGTGCATCTATTAAAAGGTTCTGATTTTGTTTGGCTCAGAATGTGATGGGCAGTGTTTTAAACCTCTTTTTGATGTTTTTTAAACTGGATTTTATAAGCAACGGGCTCATCTGTGATCTAAGCTGTGAACCAAAATGGGAGCTTTAACGATTTCTTTGGGCTTTGTGGTCCGTGTGGAGCCAGGAGGGGAATAGGTTTGTGGACTAACAATGACTTTACAGTGAATGTTGTAAAAACTGTCTGTGTTTTCAGCACTGGACAGCTCCCAAATCGCAGAGCTCAGGGACCTAACTGCAAACACTTGAGAAATAGTGCAAGAGAAATGAATACTCAGTGTTTTGAGGTCCTTGGATTGGGATATTGTCGAACTCCGTCACTCTGCGGAATATTGAAACCCTCTCGCAGCCTGTGCACCCAGCAGCCAAAACCCCAAGGGGGATTGGGCAAGCCAATCCATCAATCAAATTCAGTCTATAGACTGGGAGGGACTAAAGCAACCCACGAAACCAATCATTACAAGCCTAGATGGGACCACAGCTGAACAGCTCACCCACACAAAGAGAAGGGCCCTCTCTTTGTCTTTGGCCAGGGGCTCTCCTCGAAGGTCTGCTGGAAGACAAATGTTTGGTTTCACAGATGGATGAGGAGAAGGTCTTGAAGGCAGCACGGAAGTTTTAACAGCCCTGCAACACAGAGATTAGAATATTTTCCACACGTTCGCTGGTTAATGCAGTTATGTTGTGATGTGTAATGTGCCCCCTGTTTGAAATATGTCCATTCAGCAATTCTTTGCTGTTATTGTTAAGTGCTGATGTGAGAATAAGCTGATGGCTCCAGACTCTCCAGGCATTTGGCACTGGTGACAAACACTTGGAGGACAATACTCTTCCCTTCTTCTTTCCTCGCCTAGTTGATATTCCACAGACTCAGCACATCATTAAAGACGAGGAATCTTCTTGGATGATGTCCCACCAGCGTGTGGGTCTATTATTCCATTTCATTTCACAGCTACTCACTTTTCTGACCACCTCTGGCTGCAGAACTGAACTGTGGTCATACACGGCGGTCTGTTTACATCATACGATCCGATGATGCAAGGCGCACACAGAGGGCGTGAATGTGTGGAGGTTCAATATACTACAGAAGGTAGCACCTGATCCTTTGTTAGCATTGTTACTCAGAGCCAACCTCAGAGGCTTCACCTTTGACCTGTGCTCTCCTTCAGACACAGCAGGCTTCAGCATGCTAACAGCCTTTCGATGCTTATATTTGACCTTTGACCTTTAAATCATTACACATTTGACTTACAAAACATTTCCGTGTGTAAAGGTGCTTCTTTCTTTATGATAAAACGGAATAAAGGACTGTAACGTGAAAGGTGCTGTTTGCAGCCTATTTTAGCTCATTGTTTTGGTTTTGTGCCTGTGTTTTTATTTTGCTTTAATCTCAGCAACAAGCAGCAGAGAGATGGTGTTATTAATGGAGGATTAGCCTGATAATGGACAGAGATGGACAGAGACTGAATATCAGAAACATGAGGAAAAAGTAAAAAGTATCAAGTTAGCGCACTAGCAAATGTTACAAATAGCAAAAAATGATAAGATTTCAAGCTGAAACTATGATTCAGTAAGTTTTATTTGGTACAGCAAGTATCTAATTAGTACCAAGTACAGCAAAATGTAATTATTTAAACTTACTTACTTAACTGTACAAAGCCTTGAACCACCCCTCATTTCTGTGCATTTTGCTTCCAAGCATTTAGACTTTCTCGTAGTTGTATAAAGTGCTCTTGAGCAATAGTTCTGCAGGCTTTCTGAAGGTCATTCATTCAGTTATTCTTTGGCTGCTTTTTCACTCCTTTTCAGTCTTTGTACGTGACCATTTTCAGAGGAGTCAAGCATAAAAAAGGCACCTGACTCAAGGGATGAATCACTGTTGCTCTTACACATAGATATAGACAGACAACTTAGCAACAAACCAATTTAAGATTGTATCTTTAGGGACTATTTTTACTAGAAGCCTGTCACCAAACATGTAATTTGTTAACGTTTCTTAAGTTCAATCTACAAAAGATAACACAGGCTTGACACGGTACTTTTTGGAACAACAAAGTGATTTCCAAAGAGTTATTAGCTGAAAACTTGGCACTGTGTGCAACGTGCCCTTAAAAAAATATGAAAACTCCGCCATAGCAGATGAACAGTATTTCCAACAAAGACCTGACACAGAACCTGAGTGATGCATCTGGCTCTTCAGTTGATTTGTTTTCTGTTCACTGAAGCCTCATCAGCAATGGTCTCAATATAACATCCTTCAAGAATCCTGGAGAACTACTCCTGAAGACTACAGACAAATCTGTGTCGAAGAATAAAAGTGGTCAGACCAAGTATTTACTTCAGGCTTGTTACAATTATACAAACTCTGTTTTTGTCTTCTATGCTGTAGATTTGCACGTTTTAATAAATCAGCACAAATATTCCCCCTTTTTCTAACAAAACATAAAGAAATAAGAGGTGACTCCAGACTTTTGCACAGTACTGTAGCCAGAGAAAACTATGAAATATTTCACCTAGATAGTGAGACAGTGAGATTTGTACCTACAAAT